GGAGGGTAAGTCTGGGTGATGAGTTTTGTTCTTCACAATTGGTTAAACAAAATCCCTTGAAATTTATTAGGATCAGAAAAAAAGGTGGGGTGCCAAAGGATATTTTTTAGACTTATATACAAACGTTGTAGCAGGTTCATGGTAGGACTCTAGTGTGAAGAGTGAAATTATGCCTTTTATCTGTGAATAAAATGGAAATAGACCTGATATTTGAAATCTGAAATGTGTGAGCCATAATTACAGACAGCACAGTATTGCAAGGATGATAATTATTCATAATTGTATCTTAAGATCATTGGTTCCATCATGTATTTCAGTGAGGTACAGTATGTCAACCATGTTATTTCTTTTAAGAGTTTTGAAGTATGACTTATAAATTTTCTATTGCCTTATAATTCATTTTTTTCTCTTTTGAAACAGGAAGAATTTGTTCCTCGAGTACTCCATAGGTCAGATATTTTTATTTCAAGTAGTCCCAAGGAATGGGCTGATTTTCGGGATTTTGTAGAAGAGCAGAGACCTTTCACAACTGTAGTGGATGGCCTAAATGTGGCCTATGCTTGTGGTAATAAACCACCAAGAGTCCGTCTGCAATTGGTAAGGAATAAAGTTTTATAATTTTTTCTTTTTCTTTTAAATTTGCAAATCATAGTACTGTACTGTACAGTATTGATGTAAGTTTTTCCTTGAATAATTTTACATTAGCATTCCAGGTATATTAACATAAAATTACAGTAAAATAAATATACAGTGGTCCCTCGGTTAACGAACGATTCGATTAACAAAATTTCGGTTAACAAATTAGCTCCCATAAGGATTTTCAGCTCAATTAACAAACAAAACTTTGATTAACAAAAGCCTAAGGAGAAACACACTTTGTTGTGTGCATCAGCTGATCAGCTAGTCCGCCAATTCAGTTTCCAGTGGAGTAAATATCAAGAAATTTGTGCTCTTTTATATTTTTGCATTTTTTATATTAAAATTATTAGTCATTCTAAAATTTAGTTAACATATTGATAATATATACAGTACAGGGAACAGTTTTTGTGCGCCCATCAGCTGATCAAATCACCCACCAACGCTTCTCAGTTTAACTTTGTTTACAGTAGAGTGAACATCGAGTTTGTTGGTCTCTTGAATATTTTTGAATTTTTACATTAAAATTATTGATCATTCTGAAATTTAGTTAACATATTGATAATATACAGTGCAGAAATTATTATGAAACATGAAGAAGGCATGAGAGCCAATGCACTCTAAAGAATATGGCATGTCATCATCGACTGCCTCTACAATCAGCTGTTTGATATGCAAACAAAGCTGCCAAGAATACGACATACACACCTCAAAGTAAGTTAAAATACAGTATTGTATTGTTTTTATTTGTTATTGTACAGTATACTATACAGTACAGTACTGTATTTAGTTTATATTTAATGTTTTGTTAATTCTATTACTGGTATAAAGTACTTTGTATGTATTGTACGTGTACCTTTTCTGTGAGTTGGAGCCAATTACCCAATATCCCATTGAAACAATGGATTCGGCTAACGAAATTTTCGGTTAACGAACGACTGTGGAACGAATTGTGTTCGTTAACCGAGGGACCACTGTATATCAAGCAGTGGTCCTCCCCACCCTGCTATATGGCAGTGAGACATGGGTTTCATACAGGAGGCACCTCAAGGCACTTGAAAACTTTCACCAGCATAGTCTATGTTCCGTCCTCCGAGTTCACTGGGAAGACGAGAACAAATGCCAGCATTCTTGCTGACACCAGCTGTAGGAACATTGAGGCTAACATTAACCATGGACAACTATGTTGGACTGGCCATGTTACCAGCATGGACTACAGTAGACTGCCAAAGCAGCTACAGTAAGTCCTCGTTTAACGTTGCCCCCCTGCAACGTTGTTTCGTTATAACGTCACTGCTCTTTAGATACCTATGATTCCGACAACGTCCCGCCAATTCGTTATAACGTCGTCATGGACTACTTTGTGCGGCGCATCACCCTCTCTCATCTTGGCGCGCTATGCTCTCTCGTAGAGCGTTACAGCGTCCCTGTTCTTTGAATAGGCTGCCACAGCGTACGTGTGTGTTTAAGTGTTTTTGCTCTAAATACTGTACTGTAGCCATTCGAAATGGCTTCCAAGCGCCCATTAAGAGTTAATGATGCTAGTGTTGTGAAGAAGCAACTTAAGACCATTAGCCTGGCTACGAAAATGGGGGTTTTAAACCACCCATCAGTGAGTACAATACAAATTGATTTAGTTTATTTATCTTTTTAGATGTATAATATATATTTTTCTATAAAAATTCCATTGAATTTATGTACAGCTCCTCCCTGACTTACGATGGGGTTAGGGACCCAAATCCAGGTCGTAAGTCAAAAATGCCAAAAAATAATACATATAAAATCTAAAATGAAATACAGTACAGTAAAAGTAATCAATAATGAAGAATGGATACAGTGTTACTGTGCACTTACCTTTAAAGTAGTCAGGTGAATGCACATGGGGCCCCCATAATTTTCTATTTACAGGTATACATGGAGACTATATTAATTGGATGAAGCAGAAGAGGAGACAGGGCTGGGTGGGTCATCAACGTTGCTTCCTTCAGACAGGTTTATGTACAGGGGAAACTTGCTGGTTGAAGGTATTGGATCATCTTTAGGGAGTGAAGAGGCAGCACTGGTGGGGCGTGAGGAGACAGCACTGGGGGACTTCTTAAAATAGATGTCCAATTTAGACTGCACAGCTTGCTTTTTCTTTTCATTATAAATATCCCTGTAGCAAGCAAGTGCATCTTGGACCATTCTGTCAACTTTGGCAAAACACTCAACATTTTGATCCATTCTGTCAAACACTTGCATCATTTAATTAATTGTAGCAAATGCCTCTGCCATTTGTTTCACTGAAATTTTTTTTGGGGTCCAGGTTCTTCTTCTACATTTAGACTCTCTTCTTCCTCTGCATTTTTCTGTGCTTCCAGTTCGATAAGATCCTTGTTACTTAGCTCTTCTGCTACACTTTCAACCAACTGCTCAACATCTTCATTATCAATTTCTAACTCAAGCTGTTTACCCAACTCCACTATCTTGTTACTAATCTCAGAAATTACTTCATTTTCATTAAATCCTCTGAAATTGTTCACATATCTTTTCAGGACTTTCTTCCATATTCCATTTATGCACTGTTGTGTAACCTGATCCCATGCTGCACTAAGTTCTTTATACATTTCAAAATTTTGTACTCCTTCCAAAACTCTCTGAGCATTTTCTCACCTTCAGTAGCAGCAACAGCCTGAGTGAAGGTCGTATGTAAGTAATTCGCTTTAAGAGCTGCAATAGTACCTTGATCCATGGGTTGGATGATAGAGGTAGTGTTAGGTGGAATGTATACTACCTTAACATCAGGGTGCATGTCGTCCAGGCGTGGTGGGTGTCCGTCCCGGAGCATTATCCAAAATTAACAAAATCTTAAATGCAATCCCTTGTTGCAGACAATACTCCTTGGCTCGTGGAATGAAACAAGCCATGAACCAATCCTCAAATAGTACTAGGGTCATCCATGCTTTCTTGTAACTTCGATAAAACACTAGCAGTGAGTGCTTGCTGACATGTTTAAAAGCCCTTGGGTTCTCTGAATGATAGATCATGAAGGGCTTTATCTTGAAACCAGCTACATTCGCCCCCAACAGAAACGTAATTCGGGCCTTGAATCCCAGCATGCTTTTCTCCTCTTTGTGGATGTATGTCCGTTCAGGCATGCGCTTCCATAATATTCCAGTTTCATCCACATTGAATATTTGCTCAGGCAAATAATTTCCCTCCACGATGACACGATCTAGCTCCTCCTTTAAAGCTTCGGCAGCACCAACATCAGCATTAGCTGCCTCTCCACTCACCTTTACACTATGTAAACTGTAGCGGTTCTTAAATCTTTGGAACCACCCATGACTTGCTGTGAAGGTTTAGTCGCACTCATCTCCTGCCTGCTCCTTCGGGCTTTCGAAAAGGCTTCTTGCCTTAGCCTGTAGGGTTAGAAGGCTTAAGGGTACACGCTTTTGTATCTGGTCTTCCATCTTTATCAAAAGTAATTTTTCCATCTCATGAATAGGACCTTGTCTTTTCTTCGTTATTATAGTTCCCTTTATAGGTGCTGATCCTTTCACTACCTCACGAATACGTTCCTTGTGCTTCAAAATAGTAGGTATGGTCGAATGCGAGAAGCCTAGGTCACGTGAAATGGTTGCTACAGTTTTTCCATTTTCATACTGCATTATTATCTTCATTTTTGGCTCAAAAGTAATTGACTGTCTCCTTTTCTTCTGAGCACCACCAGCACTCTCACTTCTACGCTTGCCAGTCATTTTAAAGTGAATTAGATACAAAAATAATGTCGGTACACAGCGCGATCATTTGAGGAAACAACGACAGCCAAACACCAACTAAGCGCTCTGCGGCGTGGGTGCTGTAGCCGTGAGGTGACCCAGGCCACCGACTGCAGCAGTCGTATGTGCGGGTGGTCGTACCGACTGAGGCAGGTCATAAGTGCGGGTGGTCGTAGGTCGAGTATGTCGTAAGTCGAGGAGTAGCTGTATATGTAATGTATTTTATGGGATATAGGGAGGCTGGGGAATGTAACTCCCATATTTTATCTATTTCTTATGGGTAAAATTGATTCCATTAACGTTGTTTCCGTTAATGTCCCGGTTTTCCGGAACGGAACCACGACGTTAAGTGAGGACTTACTGTACTTCACAGTCAATGAACAAATAGTAAACGTAATACTAGCAGGCAACTGAAAAGGTATAAGGATAGTCTTAAGACAAACCTGAAAAAGTGCCAAATCGACCCCCTCACCTGGGAGACGACTACTCCACACCGTAAAGCTTGGAGGAGCACCACACAAGAAGGTGTCAATACCCTCTAGTTAGCCCGACTGCATACTGAGGCAGACAAGCACCAATGCCGGAAAGACGCTGCTGCTGCCCCTCCCGCATTGGATGTAATCCCCCCATGTGCAACATCCGTGATCAACCCTGCCGGTCCTGTATCGACCTCTTTAGTCACCCAGAACTCACCTACATAGGTGACATCCTTAATAATTCATATAATTGTATCATAGCTGGATGATCGCTATACTCGATTCCGAGTGACAGCAAAGTAGTAGTAGCAGTAATATTGTTAAATACATATTTGATTTTGATTTTGCCACTAACAGCGGCTTCTTTATTGTGCACCCCACACTCATCCTGTGAGCGGTAGCGCTAAAGGATTACAGGATTACAGAGTAGAGTTTACAACAGGTCATAACAATTAACCCCCGTGGTCAGGATATTATGGCATTGAATGTTACACAGTATTTCAATTACTGTACATTATTTGTTTAATTCTATACATAAAGGGTAACTTATTCACAAATGCATGTGAGGCAGTATATCTGGCCGCACACTTTGTTATTGACATTTGCGTAAGAAGTATTCAAGCATATTGTGTATTTGGTTCTATACATGAGAACTGATATAGATACTAAGTGCAAAAAAGTGGATACATTCTTAAAATGTCTGCTATCTTACCATTAGAGATGAAGTGTTGTGCCATACCACACACAGTGTGCTTGGACCTGTCCCTAAAAGGTTCTATCTTCACACAGTCGAGGACGTAGTGTTCAAGTGTGTGGCCATATGTCTGGCCACACACTTTACATTTAGTCTTGTTTACATCTGCTTGAGGAACATACTAGCAGTTACAACATCTTGTAATCTAGTGATCTTGTTTCTAGCTCCATATACATGTTTCACTTGATACATCTCATCATGGTAAACTATGGATCGACTAGTGCCTGTTTGCACTTGTCTACTTGCGTCAAATTCATCAATAAGTTCTTTCCCAATTACAGTTTTAAGGGTTCTTTTTGACAGACCCAAATTGTATTCAACAGTGTCTTTGTTAGACACGAGTTTGGCGAGGGCATCAACTCTGTCATGTTTATGAGGCCTATGTGAGAGGGGATCCACAACAGTTTGACCTTGACACCCCGGTCAACACGGCACATATATTTGTGTCTGGCTTCAGAGACAAGCGCGTGACAACTTGTGTTAAATAGATGTGCCTATAGGTTGTTTCATTGTAGTTTCTCATCTGCCAAGATTAACATTGACATTATTCTGGTGGGTGTATCTTATAGTAAGAAAAATGCTGTAACTGTAGGAAAAATCAACATATCCACAGACTGCTTCACTCATCTTAACATTTTACTTAAAAAATTATTTTGATGGATTTGTTTTATAAATGGGAAAAAGATTGTGATTGTAAACTGAAAATATTTTAAGGTGGACGTGACGATATACTGTTTCACTGTCTGTGCTAATATAATATTACTTTTGGGTTAGGTAGGATATAAATTTTTTGTTGGCTTGCAGAAAAATACCTTAATCGTAATGCAGTCCATGGCTGAGGAAAGGTTGCCCACAATGCCCATGCCTGATGTAAGACATAATATTATTAGTCATGTAATACTATATTATTATAATTGGAAGATATGTTAGCCCTAGTTTTTACCTTTTTACGCTTTTAACTATGATTCACATGTATTTTCCAGTCTACTAATATGTTAAAATTTATTTTGTTATGAAAACAAAAGGGGACCGTGATAACCAGTCAGTGATTAACATACTGTAGATTTGTATTTTTACTTTTTAATCAGCCATATCCTGTAATTTAAATTTGATGTATTAAGACATTTAAATTACTGTATGAAAATTTAGGAATAATGTGGAAAAATTACAATAGAATAAAAACCTTTATAACCAACTGCCCTTCACTAAGTGGCTCAAGTATAATGTACTCACTAAGCTGCCAGTCTAGGACCCAGAAGGCCTGACAATAGAGGCATGGACTAATCTAAATAATCAGTAGGTTTCCCCTATGGCAACTAAGCCATATAAAAAGGGTGTTTGGATGCAGAGGCTTCTCCCCCCTTGGATAGTTGTGGTAAGAGATCAGATGAGCAGGTGACATCACTGAAGCTATTGTGCGGTGTATCTTTCTTCCAAGTTGGCCGTACTGGTCTAACAGGCTTCAATCCTCATTCATTCCAAGCAATGCCTTCCATTGATAGGTAGTTCCACTGTTCACTCTATATACTTTGGAGATAAGTACAAGTATTGATGATAGTTTGCTAAAGCTCCAATATGGATATAACTTATGAGCTGACTTTGAACTGGGAAAACTTAATTTGTTTTGTTGATCCATGGTCATTAATCCTGATGTTCCATTTTATGTCCAAGCCCAGAACCAGGCAGTTTAGAAGCCTTCCCTTCTCCTTTGGGTTGATGAGGAAGTTTCTCATAAATGAATAGGGGATGGAGCTGGAAGAGCAGTATAGCCCTCAAGAAGAAAGACAAGGTGTACAATGGTTTCTATAACATCACACTCATCTGACCTTCTGCTTTTTCTATACATGTTGGAAAAACCTATATATTTCCAAATATAGTACCACTAAGCATGGTTAAAAGTTCAATAGTGAAGATTTGCTTATCATTTAGGCAAGTCACAGCCACTAGTGACAAGTCTCTTGAGTCCTAGACTGATGCCCGGGAGAACTCATTTTCCTCAAGTAGCCTATTTCCAGACCTGAGATCAATCCTTTGATATTTTCGCAGCTGAGAGATGTTGTAAAGCAAGTTTGCCGGAGAAACCCTAATGGCCGTGTGTTAGTGATTGGACGAGAGCACATGAAGAGCTGGTCACCTCAGAATTTATTTAGAAACCAGCAAGCTGTGAGCTTGTATACCCTTAATAATATGTGAGTTTTGGGGATGCTTATTTGTTTTAAAAGAAATATTTATTGTACTATCGTGGACAAAAGTTCGCTCCCTATGGTGAAACAATCAAGGGAATGAGTCTCCGAACTGACTTACCCTGACTCATCTGGTGTGGGTGTGCTGTTTTATCTCATTTGAGGTCAATACTGCTTCATTTTGGGAGGGAGCAAACTTTTGTCCACGATAGTACAGGTTGTACCTCTCTAGTCCGGCATTCTGTGGTCCGGAAACTCCCGTGGTCCGGAATGATTTTAGTTTGTCCAATAGGTAGATAGGCAGCCTTTTTTTTTTATCTGAATTATTATTATTATTATTACAGGAGTATTAAATTTTTGCCCCTCAGGCCCCAATGTGTGTCAGTGACCTATGCCCGGGTGGGCTAATCCCCTTAAAAAAAAAAAAAAGCCGCGGGAAATTAAGGTTTGTTTACATCCGGCAGTTCGGCTGCTCTCTCTCTCTCTCTCTGCTTGTCTATACAGAGTACAACATTTAACCCTTCAATATATATGAGCAATAAATAAGTGTTGCTTTCATATTCTTATGTAGAGTAATGACGATATGTTTTCACATGTGCGCACTTACATACGCGCAGTCTCACTTTTTTTTTATCATTAATGGTTAGCTACTTATATTGTTCCATTTATTAACATTAAATAACATTACAGGCACTTCAAACAACCATATTATTTTTTTTACATTAATTTTACTACAGCTACAATCAGAGTCTTATTTTTTTCAGTTTTATATGTAGAACCAATCAGTCACTGGTTTTGTAAGCCTTAACATAAACAATGCCGGCAGACGTCTCGTTTCCTCATTATTAGTAAATTGTATTGTTAATTTTGCACACTTAAACATTAATTCAATAAAAACAAATTCAGAAACATTAATTAAATTATATATGAACAGTAAGGAAGTGTTCCTTTCATATTCTTATGTAAAGTAATGACGATATGTTTTCACGTGTGCGCACTTACATACGTGATCTCTCTTTTTTCTTTACCATTATCGTTAGCTACTTCTGTTGCTCCATTTATTAACATTAAATAACATTACTTAAAACAACCATATTAATTTTACTACAGCTACAACCAAGGTCTTATTTTCTTCAGTTTTATATGTAGAACCAGTCAGTCACTGGTTTTGTAATCAACGAAAACAATGCTGTGTCATTTCCTCGTGTGTTTTAATATTCTACGTATTATTAATGAATTGTATTGCTCATTTTGCACACATAAACATTAATTCAATAAAAAAGACATTCAGTAATAAACAATAATGAATCTTTTGTACATAAGAGAAATGACGCTGTTTACACGATTATGCACGTCGTCTGCACATTGGCGGGCCGTTCAAACCCGTTGAAATTCAAGTTTCCGCCTTCAAAATTTTTATTTATTTTTTTTGTGTTCCAATAAAATACGTTAAGAATGAAAAAATCGCGAAATTTGAGAAGCTACTGTACGACATTTAACCCTTCAATACGTCTTCAAAGAGACCATGATATAGAGAAAGTGGTGCTAGTGCTTCCAAGCATATGCACAAGTCACTATCTATCCAGGAAAAGGGTGAATTTCCATGGTCCGGCAATTTCCATGGTCCGGCAATTTCCATGGTCCGGCACCGGTCAGGTCCCGAGGTTGCCGGACTAGAGAGGTACAACCTGTAGTAGTACAGTAGTATACATTACAGTATTATGTTTACAGTATGAACAATATTGTACAGTGGTGTTTGCGTAAATAACTACAGCTCCTACAAGCTGTAACACAGCTCTCTTCACGCCCGTATCATATAGAGCTTTTGCTTTCTAAATATATTTATTTAACCAAACGTATAGATAAAGTATTCGGGATTATTTTGATAAAAAGTGGTGTGTCTAGCAAAATTAGATCTGATTTTACTGACTCCAGTATCAACATTTCTTACTTTTTTATATATAAAAGAATGCAATTCCCATCACTATATCATATAGAAATATTTCGTTTATGGATATCCTAGTGGAAACTTCTCGTAGAGAATTTATTAAGGATCATTTTAGTATCAAATTCATCTCCCTATCACAATTAGCCACGCTTGAGTGACTAGGGGGAGGGGAACTGACTGGGCGACCCTTACCCCCTCACACCCCAAAAAGGTTCTCTTCTGCCAACAACACTCGGCCTACTCGACCACACTGTGCTACACACACCAACACCACCCATACACACACACGCATGCAAATAATTCCTTGATCCATGGGCTGGATAATGGAAGTGAAATTAGTAGGAAGAAATAATGCAAAAATGTCCTTAGAAACCAGGACATCACCACTAGGGTGTGAAGAGCAATCCTCTGGAAGTCCAACTCATCAACAATTTTCATGAGCCTCCACAGCAAGGCTTTTGAAAAAACAGTCAGTGGTTAGCTGTCCCATGATCCAAGTCTTCTTATTACTTATATAGACCACAGGTAAGTTATTCACTCCTTTAAGGGTATGAGGATGGGCACTCTTACCAACAGCCAATAACTTGCACTTGTGTGTGCAGGATACACACAAGCACTGTCTTTTGGGACAGAATGCCAAAAAGTCCTGCCTCACTAACATTGTAAATCTGCTCTGGAGTTAAAACATGCTCTTCTACCAGCTTTGCAAACACTTAGGGGATGCATCTGTGACATCTTGATTGGCAGATAGTTTTTCTCCACCAGTTTTCAAGTGTTGTATCCCATAGCATTTTCTGAATTTGTCTACTTGGTAGAAAAGGAATATGGTTCACTTAGGTTAATTTATTTGTGGAATTGTTTTGCTTTCTCACATGACAGAGGATCAGATATGGGCAGGCCGTTGCTGAAACAAACATATATTACTCTTAAGTCCTCACACTTTCCTTTATGAAGTGATTTTTGTTTTTCAATTTCCTTATTGGTTTCCCTCTCAGTATAAAAATAATTTTCTTTCTTTCATTGTCTTTTGATATCATACTGTATATTGTTGTATTTCCAACACCATATTCCTCTTGAAGGAAGTGAAGAGAAACACATAAGTAATTATTAGATGTTTTAATTGCCTGTATGTGGCCTGGCGAGTTATTGCTAGGCATTAACATACCTAGGTATAAGCTAGGCATCGCATTCTGGACTATATCACAAAAACTGGTTTTTAGAAAAAAACAGCCATTTTTTTCAATATTTCCACTTTCTGTAATACTGAATTGTAAGCATAACATGCTTCCTTTTGCAGCACTACAGTCAGTACTTGGTTGCTTAAGAGCTGTCATAATTAGAATCTTATTTCTTATTATATCAAAATGAATATGAATTTGGAAACGAATACATGCGTTTCAGGCGACGGTATCTGTTTGAATTGGAACAAAGACCACATTCATATGTTTGTTCACGCGCATCCCAAGCTTACCAATAAAATGGGGTTTTTCCATTAAAATTTTGGATACCTTTGGATTCTGAATGTTTGGATTTGGGAGGTTTGATTGTAATGGAATTTCTGCTGTTCCAATCATCTTATGCATTAGTCAGTCCAGTAAAGCAATGTACAGGGGGTCCCTGACTTACAAACGTCAGACTTACGAACACCCGACGATATGAACGAAGTCCCATAAAGTCAATCATTTTAAGAATTTGACATACGTACAACTGGTACATAGTATTAACATACAAGAACTAGTTTGTGTGGCGCATGTGGATTGATGTGTTGCGCCCAGCCAAGCACCTTGAGGGAGTGTCAGTACACTTTACCCTCACTGCAGTAACCTGTGTGATCAAGTGCAAACTGTTGTTTTTTTGCTTATTAACTCTCTTTTTCGGCTCTCATCATGGCTCCCAAACATAAACCTGATGCAAGTGATAGTAGTGCATCCAAGAAAAGGAAAACAATCACAATGGAAGTGAAAGTTGATGTAATTAAACATTCTGAAAAAGGCAAAACACCTTCATCATTGGTATAGCGTTGGGCTTCAGTCTGTCCATGATTGTAACAATTTTGAAAGACAAAGCGAAAATTCTTGAACATGTTAAAGGATGTACACCATTGTACTCAACTGTGATAACTAAACAAAGAAGTCAATTGTTAATTGAAATGGAAAGATTGTTAGTGATGTGGGTGGAAGATCAAAATCAATGGTGTCTGCCTCTAAGTTTGACCTTGATTCAGGAAAAAGCGACAAGCTTGCACACTGACTTGGAGGCTAAACATGGTGGTGAAAGTGATGGGATAGATTTGTTGCCAATAGGGGCTGGTTTAACCAGTTCAAGGCAAGGGCAAACTTACATAGTATTTGCAAGGTGAAGCAGCTAGTGCAGATGTAGTTACAGCGAGTGAATTTCCTGCCGCTTTAGCTAAAGTAATTGAAGAAGGAAGTTATTGTGCTGAGCCTGTTTTTAATATTGATGAGACTGGTTTATTTTAGGAAAGGATGCCTGAATGCACGTAGCTTTCAAAACATGAAAAACAAAAACAAAAAAAGCAGCACCAGGGCATAAAACTGCCAAGGAGAGGCTGACCTTACTGTTGGGGGACAATGCTGCTGGGGACTACAAACTGAAACCTTTGCTTGACTACCAGTCAGAAAATCCTAGAGCTTTGAAGGGTGTTTTCAAGACATCACTTCTAATTATCTGGAAAGCTAATAAGAAGGCTCGGGTGACATTGTCCCTTTTTGAAGACTGGTACCTTAATCATTTTATGCATGAAGTGGAGCAATATTGTATTTCAAAGTCAATGCTTTTTTAAATTCTCTTGGTTCTTGACAATGCACCTGGCCATCCTGCAATTTTAAATGATGTTCATCCAAACATTAAGGTTGTGTACCTACCTCCAAACACAACATCTGTTTTACAACTGATGGACCAGTGAGTTATTGCTTCATTTAAAGCATATTACCAGAGAAGGACATTTGCTCAAGCTATCAGGACAACAGAACGAAAAGATGGTAGGACTTTAAAGGAATTTTGAAAGTCCTACAACATTTTGGATGCTGTGAAAAACATTGCAGATTCATGGGCTGAGATAAAAGAAACCAACATGAATGGTGTTTGGAAAAACTCTGCCCACAGTTTGTCCATGATTTCAGGGGCATTGAAAATGATGTTGGGGAAGGGACAGAGACAGTGGTAGACCTTGGGAACCAACTCCAGCTTGATATTCATGAGGATGATGTCACAGAGTTGCTTGAGTCTCATGCTGAAGAATTAAGCAATGAGGTCCTGATTGAACTGGAGAAGCAAATTTTGTCAGAGGATGTAGAGGAAACTGAAACTCCAGAACCAATGCGATTCATTACAAAAGAAACGGCAGAAGGTTTCAGGCATATTGAAGAAGGATTGTTTAAATTTAAACAGCAAGATCACAACACAGCAAGATTCCCCAAGGTTCATAGAGGTATTAGTGAATGTCTATGATGCTACTAAGATTTATGATGAAAGGAAGAAAGTTTCAGCATCTACAGAACCAGTCCCATCAACCTCTGCAACATCTACAGAACCAGTCCCATCAACCTCTGCAACATCTACAGAACCAGTCCCATCAACCTCTGCAACATCTACAGAACCAGTCCCATCAACCTCTGCAGCATCTACAGAACCAGTCCCATCAACCTCTGCAACATCTACAGAACCAGTCCCATCAACCTCTGCATCATCTACAGAACCAGTCCCATCAACCTCTGCAACATCTACAGAACCAGTCCCATCAACCTCTGCAACATCTACAGAACCAGTCCCATCAACCTCTGCAACATCTACAGAACCAGTCCCATCAACCTCTGCAACATCTACAGAACCAGTCCCATCAACATCTGCAGCTTCTCCCAGCAACTCTAGAACCAGTTCCTTCTACATCATCATCACCAACTTCAGCTTTGACCCAATAAAGCCTCTGTCACTCTTACAAATGCCCATTTCTACATGCACACCAGCCCCATGCTTTAATGTAAGTGTTTAACTTTAATTTTTACATTTTGTTCCTGTATTTTGTCATTCAATTTCTTCTTTTCTCTTAAATTAAGTGATTTGAGATGTATAAAAGGACTTTGACAATGATATAGTGCACATAGGGTATGTGTTCTGACTTACTGTACATACATTTCCGAATTATGGACATCTTCAGGAACTGAACCCGTTCGAAACCTGGACACCCTGTACAGTACTTGTAGCATTAAAATATTCTTAGCTGTATCCCCACCATCATATTTATGAATTGTTTATCCACTGAGAGCTCTTCTTTATGTGGATTAGTGAAGAGGAACTGTATGGATGGGATTTTACTTCCAGGACAAGAGATGATGGATTCTTCATTTATGCAGCTCTTCAGTCTGGATTTGGAACTAATTTCATAACAAGGTATTTTACATAATTTTTTGGCTTAAAATACCTGAAAAAAGATAAAAATATGGTCTTTAGCTCTGATCAACTCATCTCTAACTATACCTGTACAGTACTGTACTGTCATATTCACACACTAGTAACAAATTGTATGAATAAACATTACTCTGAATATGATTAACTATCAGGGTTGTTGATTTTTTATTTAAAAAAAAGGATTTATTTGAATTAAAAAAAATTATTTCAATAATTTTTTTAGAAATTTAAATCAGATTTTTTCCTTTGTTGAATGAGAACTGTTCCCTGTCTCGTACTCCCATGAACCTGTTCATTGGAAACTAAGAAACTGCCTTGGTACAGAAAAAGCAGTAAAACTTGTTTCTTTTTAAGTCTTTGACTGCAGACACTGGTCATGGTTATGAAGATGATTAATTAAATCATAACTTACTGTTTGCAATGCGTGATGTAGCAAGGACAAAGAGGCGTTAGAATTTGATTTTTATACAGTAAATACCCTGTATTAAATGTCTTGTTTTATCCAAATGTGTTGTCAATTAGTTGGTTTTGCTTTGTTTTTCTATTTACAACTCTAAAGTAAACCTAAAACAAATTATAAGTGCATTTAATACTTAACTACAACCCCTACATGTTTAGAATAGAAGTACAGTACAATAATACATGAAAGGTAGGCAAAGTCAAGTTACTTATCTTGAACTTTTTTCTTTTTTTTTTACGGGGATTAGCCCACCTGGGCATAGGTCACTGACCCACATCGGGGCCTAGGGGGCGAATATGTAATAGTAATAATAATAATAATAATAAAGAACCATAAAGAAATACAAAAATGAAAAAAAAATCAAGAGTGAGAAAATATATGTATGTTGTGTTGTCAAAGTAAGAGAAACAATTGAGATCCTGCAATTGTGTGTAAATGAGGCAGAAAGTCAGATTAGCAACCTGGGACTTGGTCACAATTTTTGTGCTAACAATATTTTCCCAGGCAGTAGTACCTCCCTGTTTGGTAGCTGTAATTTTTGTTGTGAGATCACTGAGTATTGAACATTACAAAAGTGAGGGTTTCTTGTGTTTAATTATGGAGGTCACTGTGATAAAGGCTTAATATACTTTGTTTAATTTTTACTTACTTCTTTTACATTTATCTTATAAAAACCAGGTAGTAGGCAGCTACCAAACAGGAAGGTACTACTGCCTGGGAAGATATTGGAAGCATAATGTGTTGTCTAATGGTAGACCCTTCTGTCATATGGCATCACAAAAATTGTGACCAAGTCCCAGGTTGCTCATCTGACTTTCTGCCTCATTTACACACAATTGCAGGGTCTCAATTGTTTCTCTTACTTTGACAACACAACACACACATATATTGTTTCTCGCTATGTATTGATTTTTTTTTTTTTTTTTCTCTGTGGTTCTTTATTATTATTATTACGTATTATTATTATTATTATTATTATTATTATTATTATTATTATTATTATTATTATTATTATTATTATTATCATCATCAGTGTTATTATTATTACAGGTATTTATTTTATAATTTTAATTTTTTATGAAAATTTTTATTTAGTTTGAACTAATTATTTTTGTTATTGTTATTACATTTTCGCCCCCCAGACCCCGATGTGGGTCATTGACCTGTGCCCGGGTGTGGGCTAATCCTGTTTAAAAAAAAAAAATCATTGATAAAAAAATCTATATTTAAATCAAACAACCCTATTAAGTGACGCAATAGTTTTGCAAAGAAATCTAGATTTTTTTTTTTTTATGAAAGATACAGTACTCACCAAATTATACATTTAGTGACATGCTCCGGGATCACCTGTTCCGACTGGAGCAGGTACCTCTAAGAGAGACTTTCCGACGCTGGCAGAGATTGCATCAAATAATGGTCATCAAAACACACATTGGATTTCACCTTTTGGTAAGTAAATATACCCAATCACTGCTATTTTTCATTTTGATTTTGTACTGAGATAAAATCAGAGTAATGGTCACTCATAATAAAATTTTGATGACTTACTACATAATTTTATAAACATTAAACACATACTGTCATCACCTTCAGAGCCAGTCGGCCATTCACCCTGCTGATGTCCACAGCTCGTTCTACATCATCAAAAAGCTCCCATCCATTTTTACCTCTAAATTAGTGGTTTTTCTCGTCTCCTTCAGTTCAGAGACAACAATATCACTTCCTGGTTGTTGAATACTTAAATTTACAGCATATTTTTTGCTAGTTTTAACAATGAAAATTTACGAAAAATGGAAAAGACACATCTGGGCCCTCTTAAGTATGGCGTTGATATTGAAACCAGGGTTTCCAGCAGTAATGGGTGTTATGTATCATTATGAACACTGTTTTCTTTATACAGTATAGTCTCGGTTTATGCGGATTTTCCTTACTCGGTTGGTCATTTACGCAGCACCTGTCCAGACGTGCCAATTATTAGTTACGCGGTACATTCCTGAATTTACGCGGGAAGCGGCACGGACAAGCTGCGCGCTAGGTCACTTTTACGTCACCGCTGACGTCAGATGACGTTTCGGACTGTGATTGGGTCACGCATCCTTACCACCCACGCATCCCCTCCGCCACGAGCTGTGATTGGTCTATTTAACCTTGCTTGCCCAGTCAATAAAACATTACTGCGTTCTTCACCCGCCACAGCCAGCCAAAGTCAGTGATAGTGAGGATATGGACTTTGAGGGGTTTGACAAGGAGGCCCTGCTAACCTCTGTGGTGGATAGTGATACAGGTGAGGGCCAATAATCTGCCCTCTGCCTCGGAACCAACCCCCCATCCCTGTGTGCCCAGCCATCTCTTCTACTAACGTAAGTGTTAAAACACCTAATATTATTGATATATCTCTTAAATATTAATTGTATGTGCATACCATCATAAAATTAAGATGTTATTTTTACTACAACGTACGTATTATGTTGGAAAAAGGGTAGTCTGGCAGTCGGCCCAGTCTCTATTTCAATTAATCCCATATGTTCTGTTATTTCGTTTACGCGTTTCGCGTTATACACGGACCTCCATGGGTTTAATTGACCGCGTAAAACGAGACTATACTGTACTGTATTCTTAATTTTTCAATTTTCAACGCATGACTTATATGACTTCATTTTTAATCAAAACTATGTTCCCTAATTCATCAGTAACATTCTGATGAAGGAATGTAGGCTAAAGTGTTTTGCAAGAGTTGAAAAGTAAATTTATTTTCTTGGGTAGGAAATATGAGTGAAAGTGTCTTAAGTTTACAAATGTTACAAAAACTGATCATTCCAGACAGATTATTGAGTTACAGTAACTGTGCAGACCAGTTGTACATTGTTATTTTTTCCACTATACCCACTTTTTTTTTATACCTCCTCTCACTCGTATCATTCCAATACAGGTTGGACCTCACTAGTTTGGGAAGCTTGAGACCAGCCTGGTTCCGGATTAGTGAAAATTCCGAACCATCGAAGCCGAGGCTAAAAAAGGCAAAATAATGCATAAAATGTACTATTACGCGTTATCGACAGGTAGATGGTCATTATACCTTTGTGACTTACATCAGCATAAATCTAGCCCAGGTTTACTGGACCTCTTTATGTCAAGTGTTAGTGCTATGGCACATGTTTACTGTACACTGAACCCTTGCTTTAGGCCATTCACTATATGGGAATGCGCATATATGTACAGAACTAAACAAAGAATTTATTTGAAATACTCTGTAACATTCAATGCCATAATATCCTGACTACTGGGGTTAGTTATACAGACTTTTCCCTGTGAAAAAGCCATAATTTTGAGCAACATATTACTGTGCTCATTTTGTCTTCAAGTGTACTGGTACTAAGTTACATAATTACTAAAATATTTATGTCTAGTGTGATCTATGACATGTTTATACTGTACTCAAATTAATTGCTGTCTTGCAAGGAATCCAGCAATACAAGTTATATTGTGCTAAGTCAAGTCTGACATTTTATAAGAGAAGAATGTTATGTTGTCAAAGTAAGAGAAACAATTGAGACCCTGAATTGTGTGTAAATGAGGCAGAAAGTCAGATCAGCAACCTGGGACTGGGTCACAATTTTTGTGATGCCATATGGCAGCAGGGTCTACCATTAGACAATACATTATGCTTCCAATATCTTTCCAGGCAGTAGTACCTCCCTGTTTGGTAGCTGCTTACTACCTACTACCTTTGAGTACTGGTTGTGATAATTGTAATGATTTTTCCACAACTTTTATAGCATTACTGTTGACTTTTAGTAGTTGTGGGACATATCCTAATTTTTCCCATAAGATTAAGCATTCACTATATGCATCCCGAACCATCGAAGCTGCCAGACTATCGGGTCCCAAATTAGTAGTGTCCAACCTTTATAACCATATAGTCATTTTTTACATGTGCATTCTTGCTCCATTATGTACTTTGTCAGTTGCAGTTCAGTACTGTACTTTCATCTTGGCACACTTGTCATACGGACATATCTTCATCCCTGACTATCCAATCTCAAAACTTCATGCCCACATTATAGAAAATCTTTTTAAGCCACTTGCACACTTTATCAAAATAACTACAGTTGGTCCTCACATTACGCGGTTAATGTAACCCGGAGGGTCCCGCGGAAAGTGAGGAACGCGGAAAGTGAACAACATAACATATGGGATTAATTGAAATGGAGTCCAGGCCGATCCCCAAACTCCACTTTTTGACGACACACAACTATGTTGTAGTAAAAATTTAATCTTAACTTTATGATGGTATGAAAAAACAAGTAATATAGAAAAGGTTAGGTTAGGAAAGATAAAGGTTAACATAGGAAAAATAAAGAATAGGTTAAAAAACTAAAAATTTGGTGTAACACTTACGGTAGTAGAAGAGATGGGTCGGCATACGGGGATGGAGGCTGGTTCCGAGGCAGAGGGCAGATTACTGGCCCTCAGGTGAATCACCATTACTAGGTGAATCATCATCACTGTCACTTACAGTTGTCAGGGCTTCCCTGACAAATCCCTCAAAGTCAACTTCACTGTCACTATCACTGGCTTGGGCTGGCTGTGGTGGGTTGCGGGTGAAGAAATCTGTTATGCTTTGCTGACGGCTGGCGTTGATGTTGTCATGATACACCGTGATGTACGGCTCCATAGCCTGCACCAGCCGGTTATGGAAGACTTCATAGCGGTCATCGTCATTGTCGCGGGAAAGGACGGACTTAATTTTCTCTGCAAACTCCATGGCACACTTAATATCACTATGACTTAAACTGTGTTCTTCGGAGACTGACGCACCTTCTTCCTCCTCTTCACTGACGTGTTCTTTCTTCCATCATCTCACGGGCAGCTCAGGGATCTCTGATCACCTCCAGGATGTCAAGCCGTTGGTGGTCTCGGAGTAGCCTGAACTGTAACAGTTCGCGCAGCTTCTCTGGCAAGGTCCAATGCTACTGCAACATTCTGAACCCTCACCAGTCACAGATTGACTCTCCTCTCACCTGGTATTCCATGCAACACATGTCTCCATGCGTGACGAATTGTAGCAATAGGACAGCTGATCCCATGATCACCCAAGATGTCCACAGCTTTCTTGATGTTAAATATTCTCCAGAATTGTTTGAAGAGTATTTTTTGCTATTCTAACCGTTGTTCCTCATCTTCGTCGTTCTTGCTATCGGTGGTGGTGTCACTCAGGTCACGCAACTCTTCCCTGGTGTTGGTGAAGTCGTTCAGGAGCTGGAATTTTTTTGTTGAGAATGCAGCTTTCACATTGCAAATCAACTCCTGGTCCATGGGCTGTAATATAGACGTAGTGTTGGGAGGAAGGAAGACCACTTTTACGTTGGGGTGACGATCTAACAGTAGGGGCGAGTGTCCTGGTGCGTTGTCCAGCAGCAACAAAATATTAAATGGGACATTCTGTTGCTCACAGAATTTCTTTACATCGGGAACAAAACAGTCATCAAACCAGGAGAAGGACAGTGTAGAGAACATCCATGCCTTACGTGCTGTCAGCCAGTGGACATTTAGCTTGGTCATGTCCATGGTTTTGTAGGCGTGCGGCTTGCGTGCTGTGTGGATCACCGATAACTTGAGCTTACAGGTACCGGAGGCATTGGTGGCAAACAGGACGGTGATGCGTTCCTTCTGCATTTTCCGGCCCCGAATCCTGCTGGCATTCTTCACAATGTAGGACTTGGAAGGTAGTTTTCTCCAGAAAAGACCAGATTCGTCCATGTTAAACACCTGGTCGTCACTGTACTGTCCTTCCTCCATAATCTCACGTAAAAACGGAGGAAATTCCCGAGCCGCAGCACGATCAGCACTCGCTTCTTCACCACCAATGTTTATATTGGTGATCTTGTTCCGGATCTTAAACCTCTGTAACCACCCAGAGGAAGCATTAAAGGGTTTGGGCTCTGTAATTCCCATCTTTCGTGCCACTGCCATGTACAGTTCACGTGCGTAGTCCTTCACAGAGCGCGTGTCGACCGCCATGTTCCGTCGCGCCTGACGCACCAAGTACCTCACAAGTAATTTTTCTGTCTTGAGAAGCACCTGGTTGTGAAAATACTTGATCATAGAAGCACCTGTAGACTTTGTGATCTTCATGTGCTCCTTTATCTTGGCTGAATCCTTCTTTATAGTCCGGATCGTAGATTCGTTGACGCCATGCTGGCGCGCGAGATCAACTTGCCGTGTTCCTTTCTCCAAATCTTGAATAATTTGGTACTTCACCTCGTAGCTTAAGGAACGTCGTGTCCTCTTTGGCTTAGTGCCGCTGGGTCCAGGTAAGGAAAGGTTTTTCTCTGGGGGTGGTGGTCCGGCGGAAGCCATTTTACGGAACAATGGATGCGCGTTAACACGGAGTGGCCTTGAGGGATGAGACTGTCGCGGCTAGGTCAAGCGTCGTCTCTCCTCCCTCCCTCCCTGCCCCGGGTGGACACGTCATAATACTTTAAGCCAATTACAGCTAGCAGCAGAGGAGGGTAGGGATGCATGGCCAATCACAGGTCTTGTACGTCATATGACGTCAGTGATAACGCAACAAAGACACACTGCGCAACCTTACCGCGCCGCTTGCCCAAGCGGAGGGAGGAGGAGGGAGAGGCGGGCAGGCGGGTGGCGCGTGGGGAAAATCTAAAAATAGCGTCGCGCCGGACACTCTCCGCGTAATGGCGTTCGCGACCGCGAAATGTGAAAATGTTAGGTTCTGGCAAGGCACCGCGGTAACGGTGAAACGCGGAATGCGGGACCGCTTAATGTGAGGACCAACTGTATATCTGTAGTGAATGTTTAGTAGATAACTTTAAGAGTAAAGTGTTGATTATCTTTATTCTTGTGTTTTCCAGGATCCAGCAGCATTTAGCACCACCGCCCAGCAGGGAAAAGGTGGCTGGCACATACCTTATGATGATGGGACTCCTCATCAGTCTTACCAGGTACCCAGGACTTGGCTATGTCTACAGTCAACTTTACCACAGAGAAAAAGGCAATACTTTCAGCCTGAAAATTCTAATGATGATAAATTCGAAGACCTTTCTTTTGAATATAAGGGTAATAAGTCTAGAAGGACCAACTTAGATCAGAAAGAAAGTAAATGGTCATCAGAATTGAGAATATCATCTAGTGATACAAACTTGGAGTTCACACGAAAACACAGCAGACCTTGGAGAAAAAATACAGGAAGGATTGATGTAAAAAAAATTAATGTATCCACTCTGGCAGATATATTAAATACTAATAATAAAGAATAAAAAAAAAATACTTTCTGGTGATATAGTACTGTATATACTAGACTGAAAAAATACATGTATTGTTCTGTATAGACAAAGGTTTTTGTAGATTACATAATGAAAATTTGTAGGAAGGTATATGTATCCTTCTCCCATTTATTGTACTTGGACTATATGTACAGGTGGCTCATGCTTTATAAAAATTCACACTTATGCAAAGACCCTATTTCTACCAGTCCCTCACTTTATGGAAGAAAAATTCAAAATTATACAGCCAGTGTAGGTGTGATGGACTCTGCTGTGCAGTCAGGACTCATGAGGCCTTGTGGGGGCAAGTAAAGTGGTGAGTGGCCACATGAGGAGAAGTCGGCAGAACAGAGTAAAGACACATCATTACGAAACTCAAATCTGTTAAATAAATAAATTGCTTGAAAGTAAAAAAAAGTTTCTCAGTACAGTACTTTACCATTACTTTTACTCGAGTCAAATTTCAGACAATTATTAGTACTCTTACTTTTTTACTTATTTTTCAGGCCTTACATTACTTTATTCTGGGCATCTCAGTAGTGAATGTGTGACATTTTCTCAGCCAATTAGAACTCAATGAGTATATAACATGCTGGAAAACTCTTCCATATCTATAATGAATTTATCTTTACTTTTAAACACTCCCTTACCAGTATCAGCAGTATGTGAGAAATTGTTCAGGAGTGATCTTCAACCCCAAGAAGGATTACTATTACTCGTAGAAGCAAAAAGATTTCAAAATAAACTTTTCCTCAGGTTAAATGAATGGATTTTGCAACTAATGACAAAATTCACACACATGAATGGTAGGCTTATTTTCCTTATTACATAGTCTTTTATATGTATCCAATATATATTTATTGGTGTTTAATTTACTTTATTAACATCCTTTTGTTTACAGGCTATGGATAGCAGCTCAGTGAATCAGAATTACCTTATACAGTATACCTAGTTTGTTGAGTACAGGGGGTCCCCGTGTTATGAACAAGTTCCGTTCCTAAGGACGTTCTTAAGTTGGAAATGTACGTAAGTTGGAACACATACTCTATGTGTACTATAACATAGCCCAAGTCCTTTTATACATCTCGAATAACTTAATTTAAGAGAATAGAAGAAATTGAATGACAAAATACAGTAAAGGAAAGTGAAAATTAAAGTTTAATACTTACACTGAAATGGGGCTGGTTGATATTCCACCCATATTACTAACAATCCACTTCTTTGTTTTATTATCACAGTTGAGTGCATTGGTGTAGATCCTTTTGCATGTGCAAGAATTTTGTGTCTTTCAAATTTGTTACAATCATTGACCGACTGAAGTCTAACACTATACCAGTGACTGAAGGTCTTTTGCCTTTTTCAGAATGTTTAATTACATCAACTTTCACTTCCATTGTGATTGTTTTCCTTTTCCTGGATGCACTACTATCACTTGCATCAGGTTTGTGTTTGGGAGCCATGATGAAGGCCGAAAAAGAGAGTTAATAAGCAAAAAACAACAGTTTACACTTGATCTCACAGGTTACTGCGGTGAGGGTAAAGTGTACTGACACTCCCTCAAGGCGTGTGGCTGGGTGACACATTACTCCCCCACCTGTTGCTACGCCACATAAACTAGTTATCATAGGTTAATACTACAAACCAGTTGTACGTATGTCGGATTCTTAAAATAATTGACCTTATGGGACCTAGTTCGTATCGGCGGGTGTTCATGAGTCAGACATTTGTAACCCGGGGACCCTCTGTATAGTATTGGCACCATTGATGTAGTTGAAACCACCAAGTCCAAGACTGAGACCATTTGAAATTTTTGCATTTATGAATTACCTGAAGATTAACCCCCAGGTAGCATCGGTACAGTTGAACTTTAGGTGGGATACCCTGGGGGGGGGGGGGCAACCTACAAGCAACTGCTGAGGTCCACTGTCATTTCTTCTTGGGGCAACACTTCCAGTGAGATATTTTTTCAAAAGAAATATGCTTCCTTATTATTCATTCAGATACAGTAGCAAGTAGCAGTACACCATGGAGTGCAATACAGGGGGTTCCCGACTTAGGAACAGGTTAGGTTTATGGACCATATTCATAAGTTGATCTGTTCGTAAGTCAGAACAGTGTTACTTCCATAGATTAGATGAGGTTAAAACACAACCCTGCCCATACAAAACAATAATTATATCCCATACATAACAAATATATAAATATATACCAGAGGGTCCCGCGCTAAGTGAAATCCGCGTTAAGTGAACAACAGAACATATGGGATTAATTCCAATAGAACCCAGCCCGACCCCCAAACTCCACTTTTTGACGACAAATAACTATGTTGTAGTAAAAATTCTATCTTAACTTTATGGTGGCATGAAAAACAAGTAATATAGAAGAGGTTAGGTTAGGAAAGATAAAGGTTAACATAGGAAAAATAAAGAATAGGTTAAAAAACGAAAATTTTTGCGGAACACTTACGGTAGTAGAAGAGATGGGTCGGCATACGGGGATGGAGGCTGGTTCCGAGGCAGAGGGCAGATTACTGCCCCTCAGGTGAATCACCATTACTAGGTGAATCACCATTACTAGGTGAATCAATATCACTGTCACTTACAGTTGTCATGGCTTCCCTGACAAATCCCTCAAAATCAACTTCACTCTCACTATCACTGGCTTGGACTGGCTGTGGTGGGTTGCGGGCGAAGAACTCGGTTATGCTTTTCTGACGGCTGGTGTTGATGTTGTCGTGATACACCTTGATGTACGGCTCCATAGCCTGCACCAGTCGGGTATGGAAGACGTCATGGCGTTCATCGTCATTGTCGCGGGAAACGATGGACTTAATTTTTTCTGTAAACTCTATGAGACACTTAATATCACTATGACTTAAACTAGGTTCTTCGGAGAATGACGCACCTTCTTCCTCCTCTTCACTGGCGGGTTCTTCTTCCAACATCTCGTCGGCAGTCACTTCAGGATCTCTGATCACCTCCATGATGTCTTCGTTGGTGGTCTCGGAGAAGCCTTCAGCTGTAATACTGAGCGCAGCTTCTCTGGCAAGGTCCACTGCTACTGCAACAGTCTGAACCTGACCAGTCACAGGTTCACTCCTCCTCTCACCTGGTATGCCATGCAACACATGTCTCCATGCGTGACGAATCGTAGCAATAGTCAGCAGATCCCATGCCTCCACCAAGAAGTCTACAGCTTGTTTAACGTTAAACTTCTTCCAAAATTGTTTGACGAGAAGTTCTTGAGTCGCCGCCTCTTGTTCCTTGTCCTCGTCGCTTTTACTCTCGCTGTCGGTGTCACCCAGCTTACGCAACTCATCCTTGGTGTTGGTAGAGTCGTTCAGGAGCTTGAACTTCTTTGCAGAGTACGCAGCTTTCACATTGCAGATCAACTCCTGGTCCATAGGCTGGATTAATGACGTAGTGTTGGGAGGAAGGAAGACCACTTTTACGTTGGGGTGACGATCCATAAGTAGGGGCGAGTGTCCTGGTGCGTTGTCAAGGAGCAACAAAATATTGAATGAAACATTCTGTTGCTCGCAGAATTTCTGCACGTCAGGAACAAAACAGTTGTCAAACCAGAAGAGGGACAGAGAAGAGGACATCCACGCCTTACGTGCGGTTAGCCAGTGGACATTAAGCTTGTTCATGTCCATATTCTTGTAGGCGTGCGGCTTGCGGGCTTTGTGAATCACCGATAACTTTGGTTTACAGGTACCGGAGGCATTGGTGGTAAACAGGACGGTGATGCGTTCCTTCTGCATCTTCCGGCCCCTTACCTTGCTCGCAGACTGGACAACGAAGGTCTTGGAAGGTAACTTTTTCCAGAAAAGACCAGATTCGTCCATGTTAAACACCTGGTCGTCACTGTACTGTCCTTCCTCCATAATCTCACGTAAAAACGGAGGAAAATCTCTAGCCGCCGCACGGTCAGCACTCGCTTCCTCACCACCAATGTTGATGTTGCTGACCTTGTTCCTCTTCTTAAACCTATGCAGCCAACCAGAGGAAGCATTGAAGGGTTTGGGCTCTGCAATTCCCAGTTTACGTGTCACTGCTGCGTATAGCTCACGTGCGTACTCCTGCACTGAGCGCGTGTCCACCGCCATGTTGCGTCGCGCCTGACGCACCAAATAACTCACCAGCAAAGTTTCCACTTTTGCCAGCACCCTGTTCTGGCAATACCTGATAGATGAAGCACCTGCAGACTTTGTGATTTTCATGTGGTCTTTGATCTTGGCTGCATCCTTCTTGATTGTACGAATCGTAGATTCGTTGACGCCATGCTGGCGCGCGAGATCAACTTGGCGTCTTCCTTTCTCCAAATCTTGAACAATTTGGTACTTCACCTCGTAGCTTAATGAACGTCGTGTCTTCTTTGGTTTAGTGCCGCTGGGTCCAGGTGAGGAAAGGTCTCTCTCTGGGGGCGGTGGTGGTCCGGCGGAAGCCATTTTACGGAACAATGGATGCGCGTTAACCCGGGGTGGCCTTGAGGGATGAAACTGCCGCGGCTAGGTCAAGCGTCGTCTCTCCTCCCTCCCTCCCTCCCCGGGGTAGTCACGTCATAATACTTTAAGCCAATTACAGCTAGCAGCAGAGGGGGGTAGGGCTGCATGGCCAATCACAGTCCGAGACGTCATATGACGTCAGTGATAACGCAACAAAGACACACACTGCGCAACCTTACCGCGCCGCTTGCCCAAGCGGAGGGAGGAGGAGGGAGAGGCAGGCAGGCAGGCGGGCGGGCGGGTGGCGCGTGGCGCGTGGGCAAAATCTAAAAATAGCATCCGAGCCGGACACTCACCGCGTATATGTGGAAAAAACCCGCGTTAAGTGAAAGTTCAGCTTTGGCAAGGCACCGCGTATATGCGAAAACGCGTTAAGTGAAACCGCGTTAGGCGGGGTAAAACTGTAAAGTAATGTAAAAGAATAATTTACTTTGATCCTGAAGCTGGCTTTCTCACTGGTCCTCACTCCATATGGATAAATGTTTCTCCATTTCAGCACTATATCCACTCCTCTGTTTGGCAATAATTGTACATTGCATTGGGGCTGACTCCTTAACATGTTCACTAATTCTGGTTTTGTCTCTGAGAATTGTTCCAACAGTCAACCGATTCAGCTGCAGCGACCTACAAATATCACTTGGACTCTTACCTTTTTCACTTCGTTTTATAATGTCCAGCT